CCCGAGACGTGCGGGTGCTCAGCCTGGGACTTTGCTTGTGCCATTAGTGAGGGAGCTGAAGTTAGTGTCTCAGGCTATCAGGGTGGGCCCTGATGCATGCCGTATGTGGTGGGTATGCTATGTGTCTACAGTGGCAATTGTAGGAATGTGTACATGGTGTTGACTGGTGCTTTATGGTGTGCGTGATTTGTGGTATCGATGTTCCGTGATGCTGTGTGCTATGTGATGTATATGGTATTTGTATGATGGATGTGTTTATGGACTAAGTAAATAGTACATACATGTCTGTGGAGTATGGTATGTGGGGTGGGGGATGTATGATACAGTATATGTGGTGCTGCATAACTGGGATGCATGGTATGGCATATGGCATATGTGATGTGGTATACGTGGTGTGGGGAGCATGTATGGCATGGTTTGTTACTTGTGGTGCGGTGTGCTTTATGTGGTATACGTGTAATGTGGTAAAGCTGATGGGATGTGGTATATGTAGTGTGGTATGTGGCGTTGGGAATATGTGTGGTATATATGGTCTATGTGGCGTGATACAGTGTAGTGTGCTGTATGTGTGGTGTGGCATATGGTGTGCATGTGCCAACCTATGGCAGCGGGCAGCAGAACAGAATAAACATGAGCCTACCGGTCACATCAGGACTGCAGTGCACAGTGGGGCTCCTGGCTGAGTATGCACAGGGACCTCAGTGCTGTGCTGGTCTGCAGCATTAAAGGGGTCCTGGCATTAAAGGGGAGGTCCTGCAAGCTGTAGGCTATGGGCAGCTTAACTTTTCATGCTTGGGGCAGCTCTGGTGCCTCCTGATGCTATCTGCCCTGGACATCTTACTTCCTGCAGCAGGGGGTGTCTCAACGCCTCTCAGAACTTGGGAAACACTCATCTAACCCAGATGACATGGAGGCCCTGGGTGGGAGCGGGGGGCGGGCAGACTAGTCCTGAGTGCAATCCTAGCTATCTGACCCCTAATCAACCCTCTCTGGAAGGTAGAGGCTTCCCAAGATAGCTCAGGATCACCAATAGAGCCAGTGTGGGCACCAGGACACAAGCCAAGGACCTGAAGATTCCCTGTCCACCCTCTCTTTAAGTCTCATATTCTAAAAACGGCTTGTCAGGCCTTTAATCAGCCAGCCCCAAGCCACTTATAGCAACCATGCAAATAGCTGCTTGTAGGAAGGAGAAAAACCTAGATCATGGCTCCCAACCTGCCCCACCCTGCTCTGGGCTCTAGGATGAGGCTGTGGTTGCCTGGGAGAGTCAACTGCAGTCTCTCCTGGGACAGCTGCCTTTGCCTCCTCAGCAGACACTAGAGACAGAACCTGAACATACACAGCTTCTTGTAGAAAAGTTGCAGTTCAAAGCCACATGAGCCTCTGCTTCAGATCGGGATGTCTGCAGACCTAGACACAACCCGGCCACTTGCTCAGGGACAGTAGAGGCCCCCACATGTTCACGGCACCAAAGCCCACCTGGCCATAACCACCCAAAGCATGCAATGCCTTCCAGAGCTGCCTTGCCTCAGTGGAGGACAGACAGAAAACAAAGGCCCCAGATGTGGTTGGTTGTGGAAAGAATAATGACAGGAGCAAAAGGGCAAGGGAGGGGATTCTCGTATCCACTCAACACACACACACACACACACACACACACACACACACACACACACACACACACACACACACGTTGTATGCATGTGTATGAGTGCAGGTGTGTATGTGCATGTGGAGGCTTGGCTTACCGGGAACCTTCACTTCACCTTATTCCTAGGCAGGGTCTCTCAATCAAACCCAGAGCATGGCTACCTGGCTATTGTTGCCAGCCAGCACGCCCTGGGGATCCTGTCTCCACTGAGGTTGGAATGACACGTGGGTCACCATGCCTAACCAGCATTTAGATGGGTTCTGGGGTCATCCCCAGTCTTTAAGCTTTCACAGCAAACACTTTAACGACGGAGCCATCGCCCCAGCCCCTAAATCATTCTGAGGGGCTGGGAAAGAAACCCACTCCTCCCATTTCAGTTCCCACCCCACCCCCACTCTGCACACTTCTGGTCCCCACGGTCCCCAGCTGTGGTTCTTTGGTCCCTGGCCTCCAGTGTTCCTTTAAGTCTGGCTGGGAGAAGACTGATGAAAGCCTATGAAGAACACATCTCCAGCCTTATGGTAGCTCTCAGGGGTGGTGAGGGCATCAGTTTGCAGATACAGGTTGTGCAGATCGAGCTTCAGAGACATGGCAATGTGAGTTAATACAGTTTCATTGCCCGGCTGCCCGGCTGCCCGGGCTGGTGGCTTCCTACAGCTCTGTCTTTGGAGAAGCCCACCTTCCTGTCTCATGCCTAGCCTTCCCATCACCCGAGTAGACAGCTCCCTGCTTCAGAGTCCCTGTGCTGAAATGCCTGGTGTGGTTTCTGTGTATTTAACAGCCAAGTCTTATCTTCCCCAAGGCCCCTGTCATTCACTCTCTCCCAAGCCCAGGACCTGTGCCACTGAAACCCTTGCTAAGAGTAACAGGTACCTGAGAACATCTCCAGAATGTAATGCTTTTGGCCACAGGCTGCCTGATTCCCAGGAACGAGGCCTCGGGTCCTTTGCTACTTTGGATGAACCTGAGCCTGAGCTTCTCTAGTTCCCTTGAGAGTACCCATAAAGAGCTACACTACTGCCCAAGACACAAGGCTGTTGGAGACATGGGAGTTTTCATTGGCTACCTAAGGCTAAAATACCCAGCTGAAGGGTTCCAGAAATGGCTCAGTAGTTAAGAGTACTTGCTGCTCTTGCAGAGGACCCAAATTCAGGCCCCAGCATTCGCATCAGGTGACATGCAACCACACATGACTCTGGCTGCAGGGCATCTCTTCTGGCCCCCTTCCTTCATGCACTCACTCATGCACACACTTATAAATAAATGATGAACCTTGAAATACCTTATTGAAGAACGAGCAGGTGTCTACATGAAGGCTTGGTCCACAGCACCGAGCACAAGAGTAGGAACTACTGGGCACGATGGCAGACACCAGGAGACTTAGCAGCTTGGGAGGCTTAAGCAAAGGCATTACTGGAGCCCAGGAGTTCAGGGGCAGCCTGGGCAGCCACAGAATAAGATCCCAACTCAAATAGGAGAACCAAACAGCGCACATCTCCACTGAAGACGGCATAGCACTCAGGTCCACAGCAACATCTGTCCTCTATGCCAGCTACAGCCGCTAAGGGACCACCAGCTGCCCCAGGTGGCATGTTGCCGTCACAGCAGAGGACACAGGCCCCAGGATCCTAGAGCTAACAACACATGTGGCACTTTCAAATTCTCCATAGCTTTGATAGCTAAAAAGCAATTTTAAGATAAACCAGATTTGCTTTTCCTTGCAATCAACACCATTCCTCGCCTCTGGTGTAGATAAACTAACAGCTTTCCAGAGTGCATGTCCTGTGCCGAATTCTACAGCATAGGGAAAAACCCTCACCTTATGGTTTTTATGCTTTACTTATGTATTTATTTATCTATGCCATTAGTAGGTCTTGTACATGCTAGTTACAATTCTGTCATTTTGTTCCTATTTAGTGGTATCACTAAGTTGGCCTTGCGTTTGCTCCATAGCCCAGGTTAGCAAACCATGGCCTGTACACTGCACCCGGCTCTTGGTTGTCCCATAGGTCCAGTTTTCTGATATACAACAATGCCCAAGCCTCAGCTGGAGCTGCTTCTACAGCATAGCAGCCTACAAGTCCAAAAGACCTAACACCTGTATCTTTACGGCAAAAAGCTGGATGCGGTCTAGCAATAGCTTCACGCTGTAGACAGTTCATCTCAGGATCATAGGAGCTGAAAGCAAAGATGTTTGGACCTCAGGGAAGACAAGAAAAGCAGTGAGCGGTAAGGGCAGAGTAAGGGACAGCCATGGACACTCAGGCCCTCAACTCACCTGTTGCCTGGCAGAAGAGGTAGAAGGTCCCCAACGCCTGCACCTGCTGTGCCTGGTCACTCAGGAAGGGTGGCAGCAAAGTAACTTGCTTACGGTTGTTGGGCCCTGAGGCCAAAGCTGGCCAAGGGCTTCTGGGAGGAGACGAGTCAGGGCCCAGACAGGATAGAGAGGAGGAGCCAGGAGGAGGGAAGGACTTAGGAGATGAGGCTGTGAGACAGAGGACAGAAAAGGAGGCATTGAGGAGGTGGTCATCAGAATAAGTGCCATGCCAGAGAAAGTACAGCAAGAGACCCCTGGGGATGAGAAAAGAAAAGCCCCGCCCCCACCCAGGGCCATCACACAAGAAGAGGAGGCCCACACAGCCTCCACCACGGAAAGGCCAGCCCAGTCAACGATAAAGCTTCTCTGGTTTATTTGGGTACTTTCCAAATATATACAGTTCCAAGTAGAAAAATAAAAACAAAGTAAATCTTATAAACACAAATGTTTACACCGAATGGTGAGATCATGTCATGCTGAAGATGGGGAATCCAGAGTTCATCACTCTCTACATGGAATGAGCGCTCCACACACAGTAAGTGAGAAACAAAAGTTAGACTCGTACCACCCATTAACATCCTGAAAGACACTGGCAGGAGTCAGGCTGGAGCAGCGGCTGCTCACACAGGACGTTGTGGTCACTGTCCGGGGCCGGGAGCCCACTACCCAACCCATTTCTGTCTTGCGTGGACAGTCAAGGTGGATGTCCGGGGGCAGTGATGTGAGATGCAATCGAGAGACAGGAAGTGATCAAGAACCAAAGTTGTCCTCATGAAGGCGCCATCCATTAGGGCAGCAGGTTCCAAGAAGCAGCAGGGCCATCCGGGTGTAAACCTTCTCCTCATAGGACCAGCTCCAAGGCCACCCAGAGCCACCAGACCACCTGCCCTCACTCAACACCCACCTTGTAGATGTATGGCAGGAAAGACAAAAAGTACGGAAAGAAAACCTTGGAAAATGGTACTGCCTTCAAAATGAGTGAGATTAAAAGACAAAAAACAAAAAAAACAAAAAAAAAAAAAAAAAAAAAAAAAAAAAAAAAACACTAAAATGAAAGGGTGAGTGAGTTCAAGAGACAGTTTTAGGCCTACATTCCTAACAGCACGAAAGAATGCAGTTAGCAAAAATAAGTCTATCCCTGAGAATCTTAAGCGACATAAGCCATATTTTATCTCAATATATAACAAAAAAAATCTAGAAAATGCACATCTTCTCATGAATAGTAAAACATCTCCTTCGGTAGTTTAAAAAAAAAAAAAAAAAAAAAGACCTAAGACATCAACATAATCAGCACAAAAATCCTCAAAAATAATTAAATGAAAGAAAGAGTCCGTGCCAATCTGGACAGCAGGTGATACGTTACCAATCTGATAAACTAGACGGTCCTTTCCAATCTGGAATTAAATTATCTTTCAGTGGCTGCTACGAGAAGGGGAAGAGGAAGGGCCATTCTTCTCAGGCCACAGAGGTGGTCGTTGCTCCCCCAGGACACAAAGGGCTCAGGTACATCTTAAATAAGCGCTCCGGCGACTGTAGGACTTGAGACTGGAATAGATATTTGTTTCCCAAAAGGACAAAGAGGAACAAGTCACAGACTCAACCAGAGAGAAAAAGAAGACAAAGGACTGAGGCTGGCGTACGGTGACAAGACTTGGCTACTGAACGGGCTCAACACAACACTCTCCACAAAGACTGCGGGACATGGGCTGGAACACACTGGCTTCAGTCCCCATCAGCATCTGAATCTGCAAACTTCAGTTCACACTTGACATCAAACGGTTTGTCCCTGGCAGAGAGTTCGTCGATCCGCTGGGAGTCCTCCCGATCTGTGGGCACTTTGCTGGTGATGGTGTCTTGCTCGGTTTCATAGCCGGTGTCCAGGGCTGGCTTGGGCTGGTCGCCATTCTGCTGTGAGAAGCTCCCAGGTTCCACCAGCGTCTCCTTCACACTCTGCTCCAGGTCAGAGAAATCTGACTTGGGCTTCTTCTTCCCAAGCAGCAGGGCTGAGCGGAATTTTAAGCATTGTCCGGGCAAGTAGCCCTTGTAGCAGTTGTAGGAAAAGAGGCAGAGGAAGAGGAGGAAGATGAAGAGCAGGAGAGACATGAGCAGGCGGTTGTCACTGGACTTGAGATACACTGTCTTCTCTGAGTGGAGCTGGGGGACTGTGTTGATGACCATCTTTGGTTCACAGGATGTGCCAGAGGAGGACTTGGGAGGTAGGGTGGCAGCTCTGGGGGAGGTTGCCCACAGAGCAGGGGTAGGAGGAGAGGACCCCTGGGTAGATGCCACTGGCATTTTGGAAGTGATCCAACTACCTTCTGTCTGAACAGCCTGGGAGGCAGGTGACGTGGGGGTCCGAGAAACCACCTTCACTTCCAGGACGTGCTTGGCAAGCAGCTGGGAGACAGTCTTATTCCTCACCCGTTCTTCCGACAGGCACTGGTACACGCCGCTGTCTCCCTCCGACAGGTTGAAGATGAGCAGGTGCTTCCTGCCCACAAAGCCATACTTGGGACTTACAGCCTTCAACTCGCCGTTCTGGAACTTCCACACCACCCGGGCCAGGTTGGACTTTTGGAAGCATTTGAGTTCTGCTATGCCACCGTGCTTGAAGGAATGCTCATGGGAACTTTCTTTACTCTTATCTGGAACATCAAAATAAATGTGCTCAGCATCAACAACTTCTTTGTCTGATTACTCATTCGCTCTCAAAATCAGGTTAATACCCACGGGACGACACGAGCGGTTCACCCGCTGGAGCCAGATGGAATCTTCAGGACCAAGATAAAGACATCCGTGACCCGACAGCAGCCCCCAGAAATGAAGAGATCGGTGACAGCTCTGAGAAATCCCGTTCTCACCCTGTCCCCTGGAGGGCTGTGCACTGGCCAGCCCCTCCACCTGCAGTGGCACCGAGGGTCAGCTGCCAGATGTTGCGCTATCGGCTGAGGCAGGCCAGCTAGCAACCAGGGACTTTTTTTACATGGCTCTTACTGTGACATGGTTGGTGAGAAGAGAGTGCACAAGGCTGGGGCCCATCTGTCCTCAGGTGCTGGGAAGGCAGACCAGAATCCCCGCGAGACTCTGTCTGTCTCTGGTCATAGCCATCAGCTGTGGGACCCCAGGAGGATAGGAACTAATTAAAGCTGTGTCTTTTGTCTAAAATGGAAAAAGTTTGGGGTGGGGATACTTGCATGTATAAAATGAGATGGCTATCTTTGGAAGGGACCAAAATCTAAACATAAGATTTCACACTTATAGCCTGAAGGTAATTTTATACAATTTTCTGTGTGCAAGTATGTGTTTACGTATAGAGGCCAGAAATCTACCCAGTGTCATTGATCAGGCAACAGTTATCTTCCCTTACTTTTGTTTGTTTGTTTTTTGTGATGGGGGGGGGGTCTCTCGTTTGTCTGGGACAAGCAAGTTCCAGGGATCCACCTGTCTCACCCTCCTTAGGACTAGGACACAAACTTGAACCACCACGCCCAGCTGTCTTACATGGATTCTGAGGATCAAAGTCAAGTCCTACAAACTGAGCCATCTCTCTAGCCTGAAAATACTTCAGATGGTATTTTACATAGGAAACTACCCATTCTGGTGTAAGATTATCTCCTTGAAGCATGACACAGCATGTACCACAATGTCCCGAATCACTGTTTTTTTAGATTTGGGTTGCTGGGCCATACCCAAGGGCTCCTTCCTTTTCAATCTTAACAAGCTTGGCTTTTGTTTAAGGAGCCTGGCAGATAGAAGAGCTTGGTGTGGGACTGGGCATACTTCCCAGTGACCCAATACACCCTGTGTGGCTTGGAGAACTCTTTCTGGATTGGTCACAGCATGCCGCTCGACCTCTGTGCAGAGAGGAGGGAAGAAAACAAAACACACATGAACACTGCGGGATGGAAAACACCAGGAACTTCGGCACCCTGGTCAGGAAAGCAAAGGAGAGCCACTCACCCAGACACGAGGACGTATCGCCACTCATCTCCTGAATCCAGCCCCTGCACGACAACAGGCACACGTTACTGTCCAGCTTGTGCACGGGGCACACACCCACAGTCCCATCTGCACTCATACCTGCTGGTGCCCACTGCCTGGTGCACGGTAACACAGGCCTTGGCGGCTGGGCTCCAGGCGCAGTAGGGGTCCCGTGCCAGCACGCAGTCCTCACAGCTACCGTGCTGTCGGCAGAAGGCCAAGGGAGCCTGGACCACTCCGGAGTTGGAGCCAGCATAGACAAACCTCTTCCCCTGTGTACGGGAGGCAAACGGGTGTGAGGAGGACGAAGGCACTGGCAGGGCTGCTAGCTTCTCTACCAACTCTGGGGAAGGCGTGGTGCATTCAAGCCCTGCATGGAGGGAAGGGCTCCCTCCAAGAGCTAAACAGCGGTGTCCTCATTAGTGTCATGGTCAACTTGGCACACCTGGGAGGAGGGACCTGTGGTTGAGAAATTGCTTATATCAGATTGGCCTGTAGACATGTCTGTGGGCCATTGTCTTAGTTGCTAATTAATGTAGGCGGGTTCAGCCCTCCATGGGTGATGCCACCCTTGGGCAGGTAGCTAAGCAGAAGCCAGAAGGCAAGCCAGTAAGCAGTTTCCTCCATGGTTTCTGCCTCGATTCCTGCCTCCAGTCCCGTCCAGGCTCCCCTCGATGGTGGAAGTGTAAGCGGAAACAAACCTTTCCTCTCTCCAAGTTGCTTTTGGTCAAAATCGATTATCCCAGTAACAGAAAAGCAAAATAAGACTCAAACACCACCTGAGGAGCTACAGGGCCTGGGATCTGAGGCCACCCTTCTGTATCTGGGCTGGACTTTGGGCTGAGTGCATTATATTTCTGCATCAGCCTCTCTCTATCCCAATTTCCCCCACTGAAACACTCCTAGAGGGTAGAGGAAGGCTGGCAAGACTAGAAACTAAAGGAAACTTAAGCTCAAAAAGTTATAAGATTCACAAGTCCCCCTTCCCCAAGGTTACATAACCGCTAAGCAATCGCTGGCGAGAGGAGACTGACCTGTTGAGCTGCCTGCTAGCTGTGCAGGGAGCTCCAGGGATGCAGCTTCTGTGGATGCCACGTATGCTAGAGTAGACTGTTTGTTGATGCAGCTGCCACTGAGTCACCCACACTCTTGTAAACGATCCTTGTTTACCCTGTAGGTGACTCCCCAAAACTCTAGTTCACTGAGCTACACTAGTCTGTCCATGGTGCCCTTCTTCAGCTGCCTCCCAGTCCCAACTTGACAGCCCACTGCCCCCCTGACGCACTGTAGGAGACGCAGCACTACAGCTAGTGTCAGAAGGCACAGTCTTCGAATGCCAGTCCTGTCTTGTGCAAGGAAAGAGGCACCAGTAATAACGGCCTGCCCTGACCGTTCATTTCTGACTCCAGCGTGCCAGTGTGACCACACCTGTCAACGCGATGCAAAGAGAAAGCCAGCAGATTCCACCCAGCAGGAGACACTGCCATGTGCTCCCTGCTTGCCCGGGTCTGTGATGGGAGAGCCACAAAAATCAGCCACGGTGCTCCAGTGTAGCCACACAGAGCTCAGGACCTGCCAGGCTGACTTCCAGGATGGGGATGTGACATGTTACTGGCTGTAGGCCAAGGGCAGGAGCCCACCTGGTGCTGGCAGAAGTCAGCACACAGGTAGGTGATTGACGGTCCCTTGGTATCTGTGGTGGCTAGCTCCCTAAAGTGGTTTGAGTCACAAATATGGAGCACACGGATGTGTTACCCCCACACACACACACACAGGGAAAGTCAACACAGGGCCACAGAGTTCAACTGTGTCACACACACACACAAAGCCAGGCATCAAAGACAAGAGAATGGGCAAGAAGTTAGCACTTGGGACCTCAAGCCAAAAGGGTAGCCCAGGGCCTATCTCAGTGGGTCACATCAGAGTCCTGGCAAGCAGCGGGGAGCACCTTTGGCCAGCAGGCATGAAGCTGGGCAAATGGCATCTGTCAGCAGGGAGATGCTGGTCCTGCTCCTGGTTTTCCCCAGGTCCTGTGCTGCTGAAACCCAGTCCTCAGCACTTAGGAGGCTCGCATGTCCTCATAACAGTCATTAACGAAAAGCTCACAAACACACATAGAGATCACCTTATGGGGAGCAAACAATGATGCCCTGGGTCACATGGCAACACACAGCACAGCAGAGATCTGGGGACAGCTCACATTCTGTACCTCACTGCCCTAGCCTAGCTATAAAATGTGGTGGCCACCTCTTCCCAAGGCCAGTGGACAAGAAACAGCAAGTTCCAGTCAGTGGACTAAATCTAGTACCCAGCCATTTCTACCTAGTCCACCAGCCAAAGGAATTTACACCTCTTTTTTTGTTTGTAGTGCAGTCTCACTTGGCTCAGGACAGCCCTGACTTTGCTATGTGGCTAAGGCTAGCCTTGAAATCCCCATCCTCCTGCCACCATCACTGGAGGGACAGGTGGCAGATGCTCTACAGGGTGACCTGGTACATGTTATTACAAATTAGCAACAGCATCATGTCCCACCAGCACAGTCTACACTCTGTCAGGCTCAAGACACAAGGACTACCCAAAAGTGCCAGCCACCCGCTCTAGTGGTTTAATATATTCACCTCCTTGGCTCTGCCATGCCTCCTTCCCAAGCTATAGATCCTATGGAAGGATGCTGCGAGAGTTCAAAGCCTAGCTCATCAGATCAGAGGCACCAAACCTTGAGAAGCCATCCTAGCCAGTCCTAATCACAGAGAAGCTACCAGATGAGACAAGCACCAGGATGGGCCTGCCTGGAGACCACGTTACCTTCTTTGATGACAGCAGCAGAGTTTGGACCGGCTCAGAGTCCGGGAAGAGTTGGGTCTCCTCGACAACGTGCACCTCTTTCCCAAGGATGACAGCTTTATGCAGGGCTCCCCGGTCTGCAAAGACAAAACCCAGGTCAGCAAGTGGGAAATGCTAAGGGTGTCACCCAGGTTAGTGCTAAGTGTCAACTTACTACAGTTTAGAATTCCCTGGAAAGAGCCTCGGCAGAGGGATTGCTTAGATCAGTCTGGCCTGTAGCAATGTCTGTGGAGGGCTGTCTTAATTAATGACTGACCTGGGGAGACCTAATCCACTGTGAATGGCACCATCCCCATGACAGGTGGTCCTGGACTATGTAAGTGAAGGAAGCTAGCAGGCTAAGCACAGGCAACCCAGCAGGCCGGCAGCATGGGTGCATTCATTTCTTTGTGCTCTTGACTATAAATGTGACGTAACTAGTTCTGAAGTTCCCGCCTGACTTCCCTGAAATGACAGGCTATAACATACAATAGAAGCCAAATAAACCTCTTCCTTTAAGTTGCTTTTAGTCAGGGTGAAACTAGGAGAGACTGCAACCTTGAAGGTAACCACTCAGACTTCTGCATACTCAAGTCGTTCCTGCCACAAGGACACCTTTCTGTAGACGTGGAGAGCAGCACTTGACAAAATAAATAATTAGGAGTTCAAGTTACAAGAACTCCAGTTTTCTCATAAAGCATCACCCCGGCCACAAGGTGGATTCCAAAGACCTTCACCAACAAGGCCACATCCTGACACCTCAGTCACGTTCACTGGAATGCCCTGTTGCACTCCACTGGTCCTCCAGGTGAGGTTAGGAGCCCAGGCAGGCAAGCAAAAGCAAAATGCTCATCTGGGAAGTGTCCCTGGGGCACTGCCAGCTGCCAAGCTCCAACTCTCCACCACCATCCCAGAAGACTTGTCCCTTTCTTGTGCCTCCTAAGGCTGATCAGGGAGGGACAGAGCCTGGCTCCTCCTAGAAGGTGGCATGGTCTTCCACTACCAATTAGGAAATGCCAGGTCAGCCCCATTGGTCCCATGACAGCAGGGATTACTTAGTGCCCCAGGGGCCTGCTAATAGCCACAGAATCTCAGAATCCCAGGCGCAGTCTCAGAAACCCTTCAGCTGGCACAGACGTCTCAGGTACCTGAAGATAGCAGATCTGCCCACAAACCCTTGAGTGAATGTCCCAGTCTTACCAAGGAACCCACCTGTGCTGATAAACATGACATCGTAGAAGGTCCCATCCAGGGCCTGGGTCCTGTCTACCACTATCTGGGTGTAGTTCACATCTTTTTTTATTAGCTTGGGTCTGTTGTCTATAGGGGTCACAGAGTCGTCCATCAAAGGGTGGTCTTTTACAAACTGCAGTGTTTTGTCTGGGAGATTCAGAGAACTGGTGTAGTTGGCTGCCCGAGCCTCAGTGTCGATGCACTATGGGGAAAAACATCGGGGTAAGATGCCCACTTAGCACAGAAGAGGGGCCACATCGGCAGCCCTGGAGGGCCACAACCGCACTTCTCCAGAGAGGAGCAGGGGCTGAGCTGGCCTCCCCTGCAACAGAAGCTATGGTTTTAAAGCACAGTCATAAGCACATGACATAACTGTCTTATGATCAGTTGAGGAATTAGTTATCAATGAAAACAGTACACTTCTCAAATTAAAAATTCACTCTTCATAGCCTTCCTATGAGAGGAAACCCTGCAAAATATTGTTTAACAGACATGTGAGCAAGTGCATACACACCACACATACACACACAATACATACACATACATACATACACAAGCATACATACACACACACCACACATACACACACAATACATACACAAGCATACATACACACACACCACACATACACACACAATACATACACATGCATACATACACAAGCATACATACACACACACAATACACCACACATACGCAAGCATACATACACACACACACAAGGTACATACACACACATACATACATACACACACAAGCATACATATACACACACCACACATACACACATACATACACAAGACAGATACATACACACACTCATACATACACCACACACACACACACACACACACACACACACATTCTGCAACACAAAAGACAAAAAGCCTGGAAAGATTATTTTTTTTGGTCCCAGCTCACTAACCACGTTTCACTGAACACAGTAGGTACACCAGAATAACCAGGGAGGCAGGCCAGACACCCACAGAGAAGCTGTTCCTGGGGAGAGATTCAAGACCCAGACAGGGCACTATCCAAAAGGCACAACCATTCATCACATGGCAACAATGTGCAGGCAACCCAAGAATTTCCTTTCCTTTAAATTTACTATATTCCGAAGGACAGACTGAGGCTCCCTTATCTAATGGACAGACTGCCTCAGGAGACAGCCTAGGCCTGGCTGACAAACGAGGTTTCTTTGTAGGAAACAGAAAACGGAGCGAGCCTGTCATTGTGCAACACCAACTTCTCAAAAGAGCCCAGGCCAGTGGTACAAGCTCTCATTTGGACAGCATGTTACACAACATGTGGAAGAGACCAGAAAAGGAACAAGCCTCACTCGTCACCGCCAGATCCTGCAGCCGCTCAGCCCAGTTTGGAGACGACTACTGTTGCCATGTAACGTGCCGCAAGGAGGCTCTGGGATCTCTGTGGTCTCATGCTTGGGGCCTTGAGGCCCACGGGAAAGATAAGCCCTCCCGGGAGCCCAGGACCCCGCTTACCGCTCCAGGCCGGGGAGTGGGCACCGGGCCACTGTAGCGCACCCATTTGGTGTGCGATTGCTCCACCGTGGCGCTCTGCATGTATTTCCCACGAGAGAAGACTGCCTCCACTGTGGCCAGCGTGTAGGCACAAACCGCGGACAGGCCCACGTTATTCCTGTGGAGGGGAAGCCATGAGTGTCAGGAATGCAGCAGGTCACCAGGGTGGGCAGGCCCCAACCGTCAAGGGAACTAACTCACAACTGTGGCGTGAAGACCGCATAGAACACGGGCTCCTTGAGGCCTGGGGCCCGCAGCACGAACACATCCTGCAGTATGTTGAAGACCAGGCCACTGTCTGGCCGGGAGCAGAGCAGCCTGGCTTTGAGGAAGGAGGTCCACTTCTTCTGCAAAGTGCGAAGGCCGCCCTGGTCCCCCTGGAATGCCAGAGATAGTGTGTGGTAGGGGCGGCACAGATGGCCAGCCACACGGGTAGCCAGTCCATATGCCCCCACCCGGCAGGCCAGCCTGGTAGACAGTTATATCACAGAATACTAAAAGAGACAGGCACATGCAGTGACAACCAAAACAACCGCATCTGTCACCCCAAGTGTCACACAAATGCCACTGGCCTTGTCTCCTGCAGCTTTCCGAGCTGTGGCCCATGAGGGGACACGTAAGACTTAGACTAGTGATGAGTGGGCTCCTTCCTCTCACAGACCCCGACCCTGTAGACCATCTCGGGGTAACATGTGAGTTTACCACTGAGACCCTCTCACTCCCCCTCTGCCTGCCCAGTTCTAGATAAAGTTCTAGGGCACTTTAATCCTTTTCAGTGAGCCTAGGACTGAGGGGCAGTTATGAACAGCACACGGCCCAGGGCTACAGAGAAACACACCCGGCTCCCTCCGTGGTCAGGGTCCCTGAGATTTCAGTCACCCCTGGTTAATCACGCACTCACTGTTAACTCTTTGACTCTTCCCACTTCATTTTTTTTTTTTTTTTTCCTTTCACGTTTGTGCACCTGTGGGGAGCTTCTATGTGGGTGCTCATGTATGGGTGCATTTGGAGGTCTGAGGTTGATATCAGAAATCCTCCACATTACTCTTTGAGACAAGGTCTCTAAATCAAACTCAGAGCATGCTGATGAGGGTAGCCTCTCTAGCAGGCTTGATCAAGGCTGGGATTCCAGGGGGTCCACCCAGCATTTACATGGGTTCTAGAGATCAGAACTCTGGTCCTTTTGCTTTTGTGGCAAGAATTTTGACCACAAAAGACGGCACCATCTTCCAATCTTAAGAGAGTCTTAAGGGAGAACGCCACCCACTTCAATCGCCAGTCGTGGTTTAGTCTCTTACTTTGCCTTAATTGTACAATAAGCCTTATCACAAGGGTTTCCATCCAAAGGCTACCACTGTAATTCCAGGGATAGGAATCTTGGAATGGCAGCACCTGCCCAGGACTATGGGTGGGAACTGGGAGGGGGGAAGGGGGAGGCACTCACCTTGCACACCCTGGCCACTCGTGGGATCATCAACTTGAAAACGAACTCATACTCTACAGACACCTCCGTGAAGAAGAAGTAGACCTTTTCATCGTCACCCTCAGGACCATCTGGGCTTTTCTGGATCACATCCGCAAAGACGAAGCTAGGCTCTGTGGGTGACATCACAGGATTGCCCCTGTATACAAAGCCACCTTGCCACCGGTCTGCCTGTCCCCCATGGTGTCACAGGCTGGCCAGTGCAGCCTTGGGGACTGGAGGCTTCCCTTCAAGGACATCTACAGTGTGCACACATCACCCAGGTGTAGATGTCGCCTGCCTCTCTCTGAGGATTCAGCAAGGTACACAGAGGAGGCCAGGAGGGGCCCCTTACTGGCAGCTGGTCTGCAGAGCCAGAGAAGTAAACCTAAACAAGACCCCAGAGACACCGGAAACTGTGCCACACCCCAAATCCTCTGTCTGCTTTCTCAATTTCCCATCAGAGCTTCATTTTATTAAGACTCCCAAACTTTTATTCTTTGGGAGGGGGTTGGGAGGAGGGGTGTGACAGAGGCCGACATAAAACAATGCTGTTGGCAGAGAGCAAGACAGCTACTCCAGTGTGGGTCTTGAGCAGTCCAAAGATTTTCTACTGCCTAGGACCTGACATGAGCCACAGTCCTGCCCCCTCCCCATGGTTCGGGGACAGCCAGAGGAAAAATGAAATGCTTGAGCCAGCAGCACACACTTCTTACCATTCAGCCACGGGATGGCATACTCTGTCCTCAGGGGACTGTGGGAAGAGTTTCGAGAGATGATGGGTTCACTGCCCAAGAAATTATACGATGTCCCAGAGTAGAGCTCTCCCCCTGCAGTGGTGGAAGCGGAGAGGGGGAATCCAATCAGCCCTTCTGCCTGTGGTGGGGGCTGGGAACAACTGTTTAACACAACATCTCGACATTAGCCCAGGCTAGCCTAAAAGCAAGCCTCATGCATCCACCTCCACCAGGGAATCAGACCTACACTATGCTACAACATACCTACACCATGCTAGCATAATCTACTTACGCCCTCATTAATCCCTCGGAGAAAGGGGGCCTCCCTGACTTTCATAATATGCATTTCTGCTTCCTACATCAACATCTTTTCTCTTACCACAATAATCACAGTCATAAGATTTAATTGTATTTTTCTAGGTTAAAGTGTAATAGCTAATTACAAATGAGAATTCCCACAGCTAAAACAGACACTCCTTAGTGTTTGACACCTGGGAAAAACATCCTAAGTAGAAAGCACTTTAAGTCAAAAGAGATGCTTGGGCACCTACAGTGCCAGGAAACATGGTTCAGCCTGCCCTACTTTCAATACACTCTGAACATGTACCATGGCCTATAACTGCACAGAAGCATCATCTCACATGATGCCTGTTTCATAATACAGCACTGAATATCTCAAAGTTCACTGGATATTGCACACTGATGGTGAAGATGAAACCTTCACACTGGCTGAGAGAACCCAAGATGAACTGTCTGTGCAACAGCGTGTGCCCACTCGTCACAGATGTGCAAGAGCACAGCATGAGGAGCACGGTGCCAGGAGCGTCCCGGGGTGTAGGAGGCACGCAGGAGCGTCCCGGGGTGTGCACAATGACTGACAGAGCCGGGTGTTGCTGCAGTGGGGCCTGAGTTTCCCTCTGAATGACGAACTCAAAAGCCCTTACTGAGGGGTCCGTGCAGTGGGATGCTTACCTGCTGTGGAAGGAGCTAGTGTCAAAGGGAAGCCAAGGAAGACAGGACTGAGGGAAGAGCTGAGTGTCCCAGATGGGAACATCGCACGCCACCATAAACAGAGTGGAGAAGCCCCAGAGGCAGGACTCACCAGCCATGACTGATGTGTAGCTATGGGCAGGGTCGAAAGGGCATCTTCCTTTGCCATCTTCATTTTTCCCCAGAAACTTGAAGGATGTCAAGTTCTACAGTGGAAGGAAAAGAAAACCCCTGACCTTTGGGTGCTAAGGACGTATTCTTGCACCATTTAATGGTACAGATCTCTTACTTTGAGAAGACCAATAAAGTGTGGGGCAGCTGGGCCCCGACCCACTCGTGTCCTGCCCTGGGAGTAGTGACACCTGAAGTTACGCCTCCAGTGTATGACAGCCTGGGGCATGCAGGATCACGGAGTCTCAGCTTGCCCAACCACACTTCCCAAGAAATGGGCAACACAAACCAAACCAAACCAACCACAGAACCCTCCCCTATGTTCATGCAGTACCAGCAGCTCCACGAAGATCCATCCCAATTACTAAAGGCGAAAGCAAGCTCACTACAACATAGGCGGCATGGGGATCAGCCTGGCTGTGCTCTAAGCTGCCCGACGTCATATAAAACGGAGCTTTACAGGCTGTGCCTTGCCCAGGGAGATTCCATCTTACAGTGTTGATTTCATGTTAGGAAAAAGGATGAGTAGGGCCCTGGGTAGACCAACAAACCACACCATCCACCCAAAACAACTGATCAACAACTTATTGCTGGGAATAAAAGGGAGGCAACTCTGTGAACTCATCAAAGGAAGTGGAGAGTACCAGGGCACATGGCTGCATCAAGGATGCCTGGGATTTAACAGACCAAGGAGAGGGCCTAACTTCCTCATCTGGGCCCAGAAAGCAATGGACATCTAACACTGGCATGGATGGCCCCACACCAAACTATGGGCTGATACCTGGTGTGTACCTCGGAGCTGGTCTCTACAGCTGTGCTAAACACTTGCCTGCACAGCTCCTTCCCAGAACTGGTCTCATATGAAATCAACACAGACTCTGTGCCCAGTTCTGACACCTCAGCCTCTTTAACCTGCATTCATGCTATAGCCATGTACATGCCATACACATACATTTGCCATGTGCTGTGTAATATGATAGCCAACAAATTAAGACTCAAATACAAGCAGGGAATGGTGGCGCACACCTTTAATCCCAGCACTCAAGAGGCAGAGGTGGGTGGATCTCTTGAGTTGGAGGCCAGCCTGGTCTACAGATAGAGTTCCAGGGCAGCCAGGGCTACACAGAGAAACCCTGTCTCAAACAAACAAAAGATGGGAATAAAAGATCTGTTTTTGCCTCAGCCAGATCACCAAGGTAGGTGAGATGTTTATGGCAAACTGGTGTTACTAAAACCACTAAACCTGGAGAATTTATTGTTATTGAATCAAGTCTGACATTGTGGAAAGACAGCGTGTTTGGTGTTCGTCCACGTTTCTGGCAGTTAGTCAGTCACGCAACCGTGGGACAGTCTCTCCGCTCCTGACAAGGAAACCTCTTTCCTGTGTCTTAGTTTTCCACTGCTGTGACAAACACCGAGACCAAAGCACCTTGGGGAGGACCTGGTTTATTTCAGCCCACAGCTTATGGCCCACCAATTAGGGGAGTCAAGGCAGCAATCTGGAGGCAGGAAGTGAAGCAGAGGCCGTGGGGGAACGCCCGCCCACAGTGGGCCCACATCAATCACTAATAACAAAATACCCTCCAGGCTTGCCTACAGGCCAATCTTGGGCAGGCATTCTCTGAACCATGGTTATCTTCTCAGATAACTCTAGCTTCTGTCAAGTTAGCAAACATAAAACAAGCAAGAAACAGGTCACCATACAAGCAAAAACCCAGATAACATCCAAACATCAGTACAAACTGAATCAGAGTGCTCTCGTATAGGGAAAAATGAGACACAATTAAATGGCAAATATCACACCGGGGGAAATGCCCACAAGATGATGATGAGGTATTTCTGAATATTCAACAGGCTTACTGACACATACGGAGGAGTATAGCAGATGACAACTACAGGCCAAAGAGTTGAGAGGCACGAGCCACCTCGCAGGGCAACCTGCCAGACTCCAAGAGTATTGGGAAACTCAAGTGGGCAGGCTCTGTAAGCTTAACAGACTAGAGGGGTTGAGGAGAAGTGTTGTCCGCCAGTCAGGAGCTACCAGCCCTGTCAGGAACAGCTGGCTGGAAGCCACAGGCCAGAAAGCTCACAGGGCCTCACAGTGTAAGAATGGCTGCAATGACCCACGGGCCAGTGAAAACAATAAAGGTCACTGGTCAGGTTAGGAAGTGTGAGATAGGGTGACAGTATGGCCCACTTGATAAGGACACATTTGTCATCGCACCTCACAGGGATGCTCGGAGGCCACTGGGGCTATGCCTGCTCTGAGCTACTGGACAGGGAAGGAAGATGGAGGGTACTGAGCTTTCTTAGCTACAAAGATGAAATCAGCTGTGCAGGAAAATGTCTGAATTTTTTTTTTTTTTTGAGACAATTTCTCTGTTTAACCCTGGCTATCGTGGAACTCTGTCTAGTCGAGGCTGGCTTCGAACTCAAAAGAGAGTCACCTGCCTCTGCCTCATCCTCCCAAGTGCTAGAATTAAAGGAATAGGTCACTATGTCCTCTGTCACCTGGCAGGAGGCACTCAGGCAGTACCCTGGTCAGCCAAGGGTCCTATGACTGCTGTGTCACTACTAGTCTGTATGCAGGCACAAAAGGTCCCTCTAAGAGTCAAGCTCTGCCCATTCCTGCTTTTTCTGCCTCTCCCCTGAAGAGACAGGCCGGTCTCTCTCCCCTCCCTTTCCTCACTCCTTCCTTTCCCCCAATAAAACTTCCCACGTAAGCTCTGACTAAGCTCTGTCTGTCTACATGTTGAGTTTGTACCTCCTGCTGTATTATAACAACTACCGCCCAGCCAGATGTCTCCATTCTAAAAAGATGATTGCGAAAAGGCCTATGAGAACCATGGGGCACACTTTACCAAGTGCACACACACACACACACACACACACACACACACACACACACACACAATTACAAATGCATACATCTACACACATGCACAAAATGACACATAATACGCAGCGTGGTCCAGATGTACAGATGTACCACAGGGATGGACTCTGCTGTACGGTTGAGGTTTTTTTTCTTTTTAATTAAAAGTTTCACAAGTCTCCTAGTCTAGTTTTCACCCAAGCATTCTATCCCCTTACCTCATACCCAGGCACTGCTTTGGAGTATAGCAATAGGCTTGAGGCTTCCAACTAGACCAATCAGGCTTTAGTCAGGAGGTACCAAGGTGAAAACGCTCCTACTACACCACTCTCTTCCTTTCCTCCTCCCTTTTCTGTTTGCTTTTCTTGTTTTCTACTTAAGATGTCCATCTTGGAGGACCAAGAGCCTTTACATCCCAGAACACCCACCTCATGCATATATACCATACATAAATACACACAGACACACATAGACACACCCAGACACACACACACACACACACACACACACACACACACACACACACACACACACACAGAGCACCAATTTTGTTTGCATCAGAATACAGTCAGCTGGGCAAACCTGTACAATGGCTCTCTCCCAAGACAGCTATACAAGTATTCAGTTTCTTAATTCTCTCTTGATATTTCTTTCTTTTGAGAGACTCTTTTGAGCTTTATCTTGTAGCGCAGGCTGACCTCATACTCAGGAGCCTCTCAAACGTGCTGGGGATTTCCGCTTTGCCTCTCTAGAGCTAGCTGCCTAAGTGAATTTCCAATGAGTCTGTGTTTTGTCTGGTTAGATCTCGGACGTGTGTGTGTGTGTGTGTGTGTGTGTGTGTGTGTGTGTGTGTGTGTGTGTGTATGTATGATGGATATGCATGTATGCATGTAGTGGGTGTTTATGTAAGTATATGTGTGGTGCTGGAGATCAAAACCCTACATCTTTTGCATGCTAGCTAGCATGCCTAGCTCTAACTGAACTATAAATGAGAACACGTTTTAAATTTCAGCTAATTGAGGGTTTCGGTGAATAGCATTTTTCATTTTTGGAGTCTTCCCCCATCCGTGGTTCCAGTCATCTTCAGCCGACTGCAGCAGAGCAATGAACTAAGTCTCCTGTCTCCCTCCCTGCCTCACCCTGCCCTGCCCTGCCGGGGAGTCACTCATCCATATTCAGCAAACCCACACAGTACATGCTACCCTCCTATAAATGCCTTGTGGTCATCAGATACACTGTATAAAGTTTGGTAAGAGCCAAAGTTTTGGCATCCAGTGGAGATTTTGGACCTATGCCCAGTAAAGAGAGGAAAACCATATCGTATGTTTCTTATTTGTTATGGTTTAATTGTGCAATGTCTCCCATGGGTTCGGGGGTTTGTTTCCAGGTGGCGCTATCTGGGGGAGGTTGTAAAAGTGAGACCCATCAGAGGAAGTGGGTTTCTGGGAGGCCAGCCTTACTTCTTGTCCCAGCTCTGCATTCTGTTTTGCTGAGATGCCTTCTATACTCTTAAAGTGTGAACCAAGGTAAGCCCTTCCTTCCTTTAGTTCCTCCCTCAAGAATTCAGCCACAGCAAGGACAAAAGTGAATGATTTCTAATACGCATTATATCTGTAAACTTTCATGTGTCGTTCGAGTACGCAGAGAAACTGGCTCGGGAAGCAGGCCTACCCCTCCCCCACTTCAGACTCAAGCATGTTTTTCACTAAGTGTCTTCCAAAGCCTCCTGTCTGGGGATGCGGCTTCCCTCTGACTCTGTGACAGGGAGGAGAGAGCAGCAAAGAACCCAAGATTAAGAACACAGTGTCCTTGAGAGCGGCTAGAAGGTGAACCATTCGCAAAAGATGTTACTATTTTTTATCTCATGATATAAAAGCGTTCACAGTGGAAGGGGGGGCATTTGGGGGGACAGACACCGAAAGCTCAGCCATGGAGACGGCTCCAGCTGACTGCCTCGACTTCCTCGGTTTGTTAGCTCCTGACCTGATGATGTCATCTCTGTTGCCATTTGTTCTTTTATTCAGAAGCCTTGTTCAAGTGGACACTGCTGTGCCAGGACTCTTTCTATTGGGAACAGACTGCCTTAATGAGACCTTGATTTCTACTGGGCATTTTGAGCATCCAATGTGATGTTTTGGCATCTCTCTGTTTTTTTATTTGTTTGGTTGGTTTTTTTGTTTTGTTTTGTTTTGTTTGTTTGTTTGTTTTTCAAGACAGGGCTTCTCTGTGTAGCTTTGGAGCCTGTTCCGAAACTAGCTCTGTAGACCAGGCTGGACTCGAACTCACAGAGATCCACCTGCCTCTGCCTCCTGAGTGCTGGGATCAAAGGTGTGCGCCACCAACACCCAGCTTTGGTATCTGTCTCTTGGTAGTTACTCTTTTTTGTTGTCTTGACATGTACTTAATACATTCACTCATTCCAAACTGAAAATATGGCTACTGTAGATTATCCTCTGGAACACACAGATAGATGCTGGTCAGGAGGGCCAGGGCTGCTTACTGTAGGCAGTCTGACTGTACAGTTCTCGGTCCATACAGAAAGAATGGGGAGTCTGGCTCTGCTTTAATCGCCGGCCAGCCTGGCCTATGAGCACTGATAACAGGGATATACTGTGTCCTTACCAGGTGGTCACAGGTGGGCTGGAATGCATTGGTCCCGCACACATAGAGGGAGGTGGTGCTGAGCGGCTGCAGGACTCGGATGTAGTTGAGGCATTCCGTCTACAAGGGAAACACACACATAATCAACAGGCAGGCAGCCACCAGAGAACCCTCATGTCCGCGTGGCGCAGGCCAGTCACCTACTGCCCTGTCCTCTTCTCTGCTCAGGTTGGCCTGTCTATGCCCACAGAGCCAGGCTCTGCAATGTGAACTTTACCTCTGTGGTCCACAGGCAGTTCAGGTGCCAGGCACATCTTTAGCTCTGTTCCTAATAGATGCTCAGCCAGTATCTAGTGACCAAACAAAGCCAAGACCGAACAAGAGCTGACCTCAAATTGTACTGGGGTACCCACAACAGACAGCATTGTATTTACCCTTGCTAAACACACCATTCATTTTGGTGCCCATATCACCAAAGCAGACAATGTACAGACAGACTCCTTCTACTCTCCTGGGGACCGCACCCTATACGCCCGCCAGCACGGAACTAGAAATAGTGACTAGCAGAGTCTGAGAGAAAGGCAAGGCCCGAGGGTATAGCCAGATGTGCATCCCTGAGGGCCAAGTAGGAAAACAAAGATGACAGTTTGGAACCCATGTGTTATTTTAAGAGAACAGTGCTCAGATTATATGGGCTATAGCCTGAAATTATCTCAAATAGGCAAAGGTTTATTTTCTTTTTTTCCCCTTTTTTGCAACAATTGCTTTCAAATGGATGGGGAGTCACCCAGAGGAGGGCTCACTACTGAGTTCATTGTGTGTGGCAGTGGAAGACATCGGCTCACTCAGCTACACAGGTTGCCTGCAGGATCATAATGCCCGCCCACCTTAGTTCCTGAGTTAACACCACAGTTAGAGACAGTATCGCAGTGAAAGTGCTCAGTCAGCATTTAACCAAGGAAGTTTAAAAAAAAAAAATAGTGGGTTATTATTTTCTTAACCTTTGTTTTGAAATCAGCCAACAACTGATAAACTCTACCATCACTCAGCCATCATGACCACCATCAAAACAAGCCGGCTCTTGTGGTCTAAGAACATCGGAGATGTCTATAGGGCACCAGGCTAGGCACGGGAGGGTACCCAAAGTTCCAGAGAAAGAGGGTACAAGCCCAGTCTCCTTGAATCAGGACCACACTGACGTATAAAAATAGAAAACCCCAAGCCCTGAAACCAAACAAACAAAATAGCCAACCAAACCCCTATAACCTCTCAGTCCTTAGTGGGTGCATGGGAGCCTAGAAATGTGTGTGTGTGTGTGTGTGTGTGTGTGTGTGTGTGTGTGTGTGGCCACTTTTACCCCAGGCACTAGTGGGCAGCAGAAATTAGCTTCTGCAGTCAGCATGCCAGGCCATTTGAAAAAGCTCTGATGCTGATGATCTGCCCTGAGAGCACCAATCCAGATGTGTTGAGACTACGGGACTGAGCCCAGCAGAACCAAATGATACTCAGTGGGCATGCGGAGAAAAGCCCTGGTCCTTGAGAGGACCCAAATCCAAATCCAAAAGAAATGTGCATGCAGGTCCTTTGGAACCTGCAATTACCTGCTTTGATTTCCCCTTCTCTGCGCACTTGGCTTTTTTGTCTTCAGAGACCTTCCAATACACCTGTGAGGGAGGAATGCATGAGAGCCCAGTTCACCGCAGCCTCCCCTGAAAAGGAAGCGCTGGGATAAAACACACACCAACAGAAGGCAAACAGCCAGAGTACAGTCAGACCCGGAAGAGGTTCCAGGAGCACGGGGATGGGGAGACCACAGCCACCCCCAGGACTTCCTGATAGTCTGTGACCATCCTCCCCAAACATGGAGCCTGCAACGTGGGGACTAAGAACTCCCACTTAAAACTTGACAAAAGCTTCAAAAGGGATTTTAGAAACCAAAGAACAGAAAGCCAAGCAAGCCTTCTTGGTAGCAGCATTTTTCTGGGTTGGACTCTGTTTTGCTAGAGACAAGCAGAGACGTTAGCAGCTCCTTTAAGGGAGGTTTCCTGACTCAGCATAAGCAGAAAAAAACCACTGGGCTCTATTAAGAGGCCCTGCTAACAATTCAATGGTGTGTACGAGCAGCCGGCAGTGGCAGTGAGCACATCTCCAAGCTGGCAGCATGCTGCTTGGTAAGACCAAAGCAATGAGCACAGGCCTCTCAGCTGGCTGTAAACGTACCCCTGCCATACTGGAAAGCAAAGTTGTTGTTTAGCAGATAAAAGACTTGTGGCCAGAAAAAGATAAAGATTTACAGTAAAGACAGATTAAGATAAAGAACAACCTCTAAAGGTTTACAGCGTGTTTAAAATATACTTAGGCTTGGGAGAGAAAAAGAAGCAGGATAAAGTGTTTTTAAAAAATAGAAAAAAAGAGAGTAGCTGAGTGTGGTGGCACACACCTCTAACTCCAGCACTTGAGAGGCAGAGGCAAACAAATCACTGTGATTTCAAAAGTAACCTGGAGTACAGAGTGAATTTCAGGACACACAAAAGTTCACACACACACACACACACACACACACACACACACACACACACACACACTCTCCAAAAAAAAAAAAAAAAAAAGGTAAAATAAATAGAGTAATAAAAAAAGCCACCTAAAGATGGGAAATACACAGAGTCTGGATACTGTATGCTATCGTGTTGTCTTTGAATTATTTAACTGCTGAGGAAACAGCAACAACTGCTAAAAGAAATGCTGCTGGATTAATCCAACTTATACATTCTAAAAGTAACTTTGACTTCAAATTTTAAGTCTAAGGACAGGTTACGGGGGAAAGAATTTCTATTTTTGTTTCCACAGAAAATTAAAAGCTGTGGATTCCTACTAGACTAACATGGTTTGATCAAGCAAGACCACCTGAAACAGTGTCCCAGGTGATCCAACATTCAAAACAGCTGGGACAAGGCAGCTTTGCAGACTACAGCCAAGATTTCTGCCTCTTCTTAGAATTCCCATGGTATTACAGCATCCCCAACCAGCAGGAAGTAGTTTGGAAAGAATGACAACCAAATTCCCAAATATTGTTTATAAAAGTTGGTCTTCATTTAAATGGAGTTGGTTAAAGGTAAAAAGGGGATTGTGGTATAGAAATGAATACTTTGTTTTGTTTTGGAACAGATTTTCCCTTATTGATACAAATTTAAGGTCAATAGAATATGTATATTCTATTCCTTGTTTAAGTATTGTGTTTATATAGCTCATTTAAAATGTAATGTATAATTAAGTACAAATTATAGATAGTTGCCTATAATAAAAAAAAAAACTTTTAGCTAGGTTTTCTAGATACACAGAGATGTATTTGAGGTGGATAAATATTCTTCAGACTTTTCAAAAACCTACAGAATAAGGCATTTAAAATGGTTTAGGGTTTTTCCTAACTGAGGCACAACTGCTCCTGGCAACACCAACTTCGTCAGAAGGGAAGATGGGCATTGAAGAAACTCGTTATGGAGTTTGCTTCCAATATGGCAAGTCTAGCCATTTAGACAAGATACTACTCTTGTCTGGACTGTTTGACTTTATGCTATATAAACTAGACATGCAGAACCCACAGAAAGTGACTGCTAAAACAAGATGGACATTGCTGTAGGGTTCCTGCTTCATGGAAGAGTCTGCCAGACAGTCTGCAGGACACAGAAAAAAGTGACTGACAAACTGCCAATACAAGTAGACAGTTCAGTTTCCTGCTTTGCTGAGGAGTCTGCCAAACACACTATAGGCTGAAGAACTCACAGAAGAACTTCCGGTGACTGACCAGGGGAGTTGTCTCTGTCAATTCTAGAGTTTATATATTATCCTTCTGTGATCTTTGTTGGAGTTGAAGACATAGTTTTCCTTAGTTAAGATTAAAGATAAGTTACATATATAAGACTTTAGACTCACAAAGATAGGATAGATGATAGAACATTTTCTTTATTTCTTGATAATGTTAATGGACTAAATATTCTTAACTATAGTTCTATTTGATAACTGCTTTGTCGTATGTAATTTTACAATGTTAAAGTTAAAGCCCTTCTTTTTATTTTAGACAGAAAAGAGACAATGGGAGATGTCATTCTGTAAATATGTTTCTTTCATTGGTTAATGAATAAAGCCCTGTTGGCCAATAGGAAAGCAAGATAGGCAGGACTAGGAGACAAGGAAAATTCTGGGAGATGTAATAGAGAGGAGTCAAGATGTAGGACATGACAGAAGAGGTCTGGACCCTTTCCAGTAAGATAAGACCATGTGGAAAAACTTAGACTGATAGAAATGGGTAGCACAGCCTTCAGACAGACTTGCTACAGACTTAATATAAAAGAGCAGCAAATGGCTGGGGAGATGGCCTGGGGTAGGGGTAGGGGCTGGGAGGGTGCCAACAGCTAAGCACAAGGACCTGAATTTGATTCCTAGAACCCTGTGAAAAGGCCAGGTGTGTGGCACCATACATCGGTAATCCAGGTGTGGCAACTATACACCGGCAATCTCAACACTGGGGAGCTAGAGACATGAGTGTCCCTGTGGTTTGCTGACTGCTGCCAGCCTACTTGACAAGCTCCAGACCAGTCGAGGGACTGTGTCTCAACACAATAAAATTTTAAAAGTGGATAGCACCTGAGGAAAAATACCCAAGGCTCACCTCCACCACCACACACACAGAATGAAACCAACCAATTTAATTGCACCCAAAAAAGGGGGGGTTTCATCTTTTCTTTTGTATTTTGGAGACAGGGTTTCTCCATCTGTGCTGACTGTGCTGGAACTCCCTTTTGTAGACCAGGCTGGCATCGAAATCACAGAGATCTGCCTGCCTCTGCCTCCCGAGAGCTAGGATTAAAGGACTATTCCACCACTGCCTGATTCTTTTCTTTGTTTTTGTTTTTGCATTGGTCTTTTGCCTGTACTGGGTTTTGCATGTATGTCTACCTAAGGGTGTCGGATCGTGGAGTCACAGAGAGTTGTAAGCTGCCATGTGGGAGCTAGAAATGGAACCTGGGTCCTCTGGAAGAGCTTGTAAGAGCTGGTTCTTTTTTACCCCGAGTGTCCAGGGTGCTAAATCAGTTCATAAGGTTGGCAGCATGTGCCTCGCCTGCTGAGCCGTCTCTCCCTCCCTTTCTCTAATTTGTTTCTTGACAGTTTTATACATGTGTACACTGAGGTTTTGTCATGTTCAGCCCGTTACTCTCTCGTCCTTTTAAAGGTGACCGTGTGGAGTACCACTCGACACAAATGATCTGAAACATAGAAATGACTGACACAGAAACAGCCTAGACTTTTCTTGGGTGGGTCAGCTTGCTGGTGGAGTCCTGAGCCACATCTGCATGGAGGTGAGGGCACAAGGGAGTCCCATTTGGGTATGCGTGGGGCGGGGAGGGCAGGACCTACCTCATGTTGCTTCTCAGAGATGTTCAGTGCATTCAATGCGAAGACAGCTTCCCGGGCCCCCACGTATAGAGTGTCTCTGTCCTCACTCATCAGCAGGGACGAATAGTTAAAGATGCCTGGCTCGTGAAACTGCACCAGACCTACCTCTGTGGGCGCAGAGGAGGGAAGGAAAACAAGGGCCAAGGAATCACTGCTTAGTCTGCATGCACCTGGGTCTCACCTAGGTGTCAGCAGCAGACTTGTCACAAGGGACAACTGTGTCACACTGCTCCGGCCAGCATGGAGTAGTACTTGGGGCCCTAGATAACTTCAGTGCATCCATCAAATGTGAGAGGAGCTGGCCCGTGGCTGGGAGCCTTGAGGCCGGCATGCATCATGCATCCCTAGGCTACCCCCCCACCTCCCTCTCTGTCCCTTAGTCCCGTTGAGTTCCGAACCCCTCACAATGGGGGCTTCTAGCACATCACAGACCAGACACTTGGTCTACCCTCTTTTCTTTAGCATGTCTTTAACCATCCACTTTGGTTTTAGAAAGAATGTAATAGTTCAGGACCTTCCTACTCAGGAAATAAATGCCTTACTTCAAATCCTCAACAAAAATCCAGTATTAGGTCTCAGGATGTAGCTCAGTGGTATAGCATTTGCCTAGTATTGCAGGACCCATGTTCTTTCTCCCATAACCCTCTTTTAAAAATGGGTGGACACATCTCTCACTTAAGCAGTTTCTAGTCATTACTACTAACTTCCAGAGATAAGTGGTACTCTTTTTGTACCTGCAGCAGCTTTAGGAAGCACATGAGCAGTCCTGGAACTCATAACCCTCCTGCCTCCTCCTCCTGAGCGTGGGGGTTCCCAGTACGTACTGGGCGCTTAGCTTGGCATTATGAGCTGGTAGTGGTAAGTGTTGTGGACTTGCCTACAAGCAAGTATTCCTCATGCCCAGGTGGCTTCAGAGTTGGGCATTCTTACTGTACTTTGCTCCCAACCCTCTGTCTTCACGCTGTTCCCTCCCTGGAATGCTGTAAAGCCTGTGTGCCCCATCCTGGAAGTCTGACCTGGAGACTTCTGTGATGGGGGACATCCTTCTGTATATACGTTTCTATTCGTTGATGAATAAAACACTGTTTGGCTAATAGAGGCAGGAAGCTAGGCGGGAATAGGAGATGAGGAGAACTCTGGGAAAGGTAGGCAGAGAGGTGCAGAAAAGAGATGCCATGTAGCCAAGAAAGGAGTAACAGGCCGGGGCATTCTACAGTAAGCCTAGACCACATGGGAATACATAGATTTATAGAAATGGGTTAATAATTAAGAGAGCTAGCCAATAAGAAGCCCTAGTCATCAGCCAACAGTTTTATAACTAAAATAGCATCTGGGTGTTCATTTGGGGCTGAAGCGGCGGGACCTGGTGAGACAAGGAAACTCCAGTAACACCTCTGAGGCTGAGGTAATCTCAGCAGTGCAGCACGAGTGCCTGGCCTCCAGTCAGCAGTCCTTCAATCGTGAGCTGCTGAGGTCACATCCACACTGACTAAAGCTTGGCACCAGGGTCACCTGCTCACACATCCTTCGGCCATCACAGCAACTTAAGCCTGCCCTGACCAACCCCACAGAGCATCCAGAGCATGCATCTCCATGCTCTCCAGAGCCACCCACACTCAGCTTTAGAACTCACCTCCATGCTCCCAGGTGATCCGAGGCACAGGTGCATATGCCACCACTGTCCCCAACACTACCATCAGGGCCAAGAACAGCCCCCTAATGGGGGCATACATCCTCATGGCCAGGGCCACCGAGTCCTTCAGCAGTGAACACACATAGATGGCAGGAGGCTGCTGTGGTGTGGCAGCAAGGACTTCTCAGAGCCCCGGGGCTGGGGCCAGCAGCACAGACTGGAGTCCATGAGTGGTGAGGCTCCTGAGTCCCCGCATGTCAGATTAGCAGTGGTCTTCTTCACCACCTCATGCTGGTTCTCCCTTCCAATCTGCAAAAGAAGGAAAGAAAAGCTACAGGTCACAACAGCTCCAGCTGGTTCTCGTCCCCTCCATCCCTTCCCACCATTTATCCTGTCTGAATCTGCCTGCTAAGGGACATGGAAGGCATCCAGGATCTGTGGTGCTGCCAGACAGGCAGATCCTACAGAGAGACACAGCAAGGCTAAGCACATCAAGATGGATCTACCAAGAGATAACTAGTTAGAGGGACAGTGACAAGCCACAAATGAAAGGAACAAGCCAGGTTTCGGTTCCCAGGAAGGCTCACTTCCCGATTTCTGACATGCCAACCCAGGAAAATTACCAGTCATGAGAAGGTTGTGGGGACCAGGCGCATGCCTGAAAATACATACAAGAGAGCACGTGTGTGGGATGACACACAAAAGTGCCTGTAGCCATAAGTGTATACAAACATATGTGCCCACATACATGCAGTAGGTGAGCACACACACTGACCTTTACACCCATGGAAACATGCTCTCAGGACCTCCTTTTGCAGGAGTAGTTGGCCTCCACAGAGGACACACAGCCAGCCTAGGAGGTCATCTGAGCTCTTCCTGCCTCACTGGGAAGAAGTTAATTACCATGGAAACAGTAGCAATTAACTATGATTTGTCCAAACAAGAAACATAAAACCAGGCTTTTCTGTTTGGTGGAACTGTGGCCATGGGGCTCTTGAGCCTGACCCTGTCCTCATCTGCCCCAGCTAGGCCTGACACACCAGGACCCCTGCCTTTGAGCCTATTGGCCCTGACCACCACAGCCCAGTGCTCTGACACACCAGTGGCCCTGCTACACAGGTAGGCTTCACTTCTGAGTGTGACCAGTAGGAGATGACAGAGCACAATTCCCAGATGTGAACCCAATGCTGGCACAGCATCTACCCACCTGCCAGGTGTAAGGAGTAAGGTTTTTCCTCCTGCCGTTGGTCTTGTCCTGCCACCGCGCCAGCTCCAATTAACACACTGAGACTCTTCTCTGTATTTGATATAATTCTGTTGGCCCGTTATTAGTTTTTTATTGGCTAGTTTTGTCTTAATTATTAACCCATTTTTATGTATTTCCACGTGGTCTCCTTACTGGGGAGTGGGGCAGGTGTCTGGTCTCCCCAGTCTCTCCATCTTGACCCTCCTTCCTACTTCCTCTTTCCTCCTTGTCTCCTAGTCCCTCCTATCTTCCTTTCCTATTGGCCAACAGTGCTTTATTCATTAACCAGTATGAGAAAAATCTATACATAATGGCATCTCCCATCATCTCCTCTTTTCTGTCTAAATAAAAAGAAGGGTTTTAACCTTAACATAGCAAAATATATTACATAACAGTTATCAAATAAGAATCACAGTTAACACTATTTAGTCCATTAACATTTAGTAAGACTTGAAGAAAATATTCCATTATCTATCTTATCTTTGTGTGTCTAAAGTCTAAGTAACTATCTTTAATACTAAGGAAAACTATAACCATAACTCTCTGTCCTCAAGTCCCTCAAAGACCACAGAAGGATAGTATATAAACTCTAGAAATGACAGAGACATCTCACTGCTGGTCACCTGAAGTTCTTTTGTAATCTTCCATCTTTAGCCCATAGGCCATAGTGTGTCTGGCAGACTTTTCTGTAAAGTAGGAAACTTTAAACTGTCTTTTTTTATTGGAAGTTTGTCAGTCACTTTTCTCTGTGTCCTACAGACTGTCTGGCAGACTCTTCCATGAAGCAGGAATTCTGTAGCAATGTCCATCTTGAATCAGTAGTCACTTTTTTGTGGGTCCTGTATGTCCAGTTTATACAGCATAAAGTCAAACAGTCCATACTAGAGTAGGATCTTGTCTAAATGGCTAGACTTGCCATATTGGAAGTAAACTCCATAATGAGTTTCTTTAATGTCCAGCTTCCTTTTGACGCAGGTGGTGTTGCCAGGAGCAATTGTGCCTCATTGTCAAGAAAAACCCTAAACCATTTTTAAATGCCATATTCTATAGGTCTTTGAAAGGTTTGAAGAATGTCTATCTATCTCAAATATGTCTCTGTGTATCTTGAAAAACCTAACTAACTTAACTCTAAGCTTTGACTATCATAGATAATTATCTATTAGCCAACAGTGCTTTATTCATTGACCAGTATGAGAAACATCTATACATAATGGCATCTCCCATCAGCCAGGCCTCCTCTGCCTCCCACAGAGGGTGGAGCCAGCTGCTCCAGCATTTGTCTCCAGTCTGTCCTGTCCTTAAGTGCAGCCCTGACAGGTTGGCTGGCCTCTATCCCAATGCATTTAGAAGCTTCCTAAAGCCAGGATAGCCTGAACCCCTCCTTCCTCCAAGGAGTGGAATGTTCTAGGCCAGTGCAGCTGATCTTCTCCTTAAGTGACAGTTGCTATAGCTCAAAAGCAGTTATAGTTGACTCGAGAAGGGTGACTCCAATTACAGGCAGTGGCATCACAGAACAGGAATCAGACCAGCCCCAGTCCTACCTTACAGATTCACAGCAGCCCAGCACCAAGAGGGCGACTCCTACCCTCATCCAGAGGAGCAGGAAGCCAAGAGCTGAGGCAGCGGCTGGGAAACAGACAGAGGTGGCCCAGACAAGTACGAACTCTGGGTTCTGCTCAGCAAGTCTACAGTCCATCCTGCCTTGCTAGATAGAGCCCGCTCTCCTGCCATGGTATGGAATGGAGATGTGTGATGCTGGGGTCCAAACTATGGGAATCCTAGAGCCAGGGCCAAATTCCCTCCAACGCTGAGTGTCTACACTCAGCCAGGACAGCAATGCCAACCTGATCTCGAGCAGCCTCTGGGTACAGAGCTTCTACAGCATGCCTAAGGTACAATGGTACAGATCTAAGCCCAGAAGGCCCTGTGCTTTGCAGAAACTGGAGGTGGCCAGAGCAAGGGGGTTGTGACAGACAGGGAGCCCTCTGATTTGTATGCACAAGGTTCCAGCTGTGAGGATCAGGTAGCATAGGGACAATGCCTCTTCCCTCCTCCTCGGAGATCTCCTGATGGAAGCAGGTAATGGTGACAACAGATGAGGTTGGACAGCAGCCAAGGTCCTACAGGCAGGGGTCACATGCCACTCTGTTGCCTGCTTAAAAAATGTTTACAAGAAAACATTCCTTCAGGGCAGGGTGTGTATCTCCTTCAGTAGAGGGTTCGCCTATCATGCACAAAGCCCTGAGTTCAACCCCCGGCCCTTCATAAACTCAGGCACGGCAATGCACCGGCAGATGGAGGCAGATGAAAGGAAAGTTCAGGGCCATCCTCAGTTACATAGTTTGATGCCAACCTGGGCTACATTAAGAGCTGGGCTGACATAAGAATAAGGATCTCATTCTATGAACTACAAAGTGGGAAGTCCAGGAGGCTGGGCCCTAAGATGCTGCACCTGCATTTTCTTGCAGTCAAAGAATGAATTATTACCAAACACATTCAATATGGAGCAATTAGAGCCCAGGGGAAGAGACTGGTCTATAGCAGAAATGTAGTCAAAATGTGTTACCATGGCCTGGTGTGCAGCCTCAGTCGCCAAAAGGGAGTGAGTGAGTGAGTGAGTGTGTGTGTGTGTGTGTGTGTGTGTGTGTGTGTGTGTGTGTAAGAGAGAGGGGCGGGGGAGAGATAACTCACTGGCCTCACTGAGGGGTGTAGAGGTTCAAGATAAGGGGCAGAGAGCAGGAGCCTCAGCTTGTAACCCAATACAGTGTATGGAATGGAAAAGCCAGGACACAAGCTACAACAAATTTTAAGGAAAATACCAAGTGACTGAAACAATGGAAACCCCTCACTGCCCCGGGGTGGTCAGACTGGCCAGGGCTGCCGCTGGATATAGGCTTTATAAAACCCATCAAGTAGGGCTGGAGAGGGGGCTCAGCAGTTAAGAGCAGATAAGCACGCTCACAGCACCCACAAGGCTGCTCACAGCTATCTATGCAGTTCCAGGAGATCCCACACAGCCTTCTGGCCTTCTGTGGGAGCCGGCAGCAACTCCTCTGCCAACCTTGAATAACTGTTAAGGACAGTGTTGGGGGGTCCGCCAGGGCCGTGACACTGCCTGCAGAAGCACAGGGCATGCTCAGCCACTCTGTGCCCACTACAGCCGCAGGCTCCTACCTTGTAGACCCAACCCCACAGCGCAGTTATTTCACGGGCAGACACTAGAGGGCAATAGCCTTGCCTAGACCCTGCTGCTCTTAAAAACAAGCCCCAGGGATCCCGGAGGCCTGGAGAGGGAAAGGGAGCAGAGAGGTGGAAAATGAAGGGGAGGAGGAGGGCTATTGGGTTTGACCCCCCCCCCTTCTCTACACTACTCACTGTTTGGTGTAATTTAAAACTCACTTTAAACAAAGCGCCTGCCACTCCCACGCAGACAGGCAGCCACAGTGCCATCCAGGAACGGCTCCACAGTCATCCTTGAATGCCAAGTTCAGGACCTTGCCCTCTGTGTTTAAATTTAAACAAATGGATGCAACACCTTTCCCTCAAGGGAAGCTGGGGCCTCCCACTGACAGCTGAGGCCCTCCTGTTCTCTGCAGTGACAGTCAATTGTCACTCTAGTGCTTTCAGAAGAGGGCCTGGCATCCCATTAAAGACAGGGTCACGAAGACCCCATTTACCACACAGAGCCTGCTGGAAACCAACCCGGGAGAAAGAGTTGCAGCCCCTCCCGCCAGCCTGCCTGGGCTGCCAGAGGGCAGCTCTCCACCTCCAGGGAACCCTGGAAATCTCAGCAAGGGGTGCAACTGAAAACAGGAACAACCTTCAGCCAGGGCAAGGTCAAAGACGGGTGTGTACCTAGCTCAGGCCTGCAGTCGCTAATGACCTTGAAAGCATTGTGTGTGCGTGTTTGTGCTTTAGTGCAATGCACTGTGCGTGTGAGCCTGTGTACATCATGTCAACCAGGCACATGTGTTTACCCATGTACACACTCAGGTACATGGCCACACCTGTAAATGCCAAGTTAAATGTGTATATCTGTATATAGCATGCACATAAATGTATGCATGCACACAAATCTATATGTGCAGATGTGTGCAAATATGTATGTCTATGTTTGTGTGTGCATGTGTCTACACACAAGCGTGCGTGCGTGTGTGTGTATGTGTGTACGCGCGCGTGTGTGTACTGCATCTTAGACTTAAGGCTTCTTACTGGGATCTGATAGAGGGGGCAGATCACAGAGGAGATACCCTTTGGTGCTCCTGTGGGGGGCAAGATGCCACACGAACTTTTAAGCATCCTCCTGAGAACTTCACCAAACACATCAGGGGATTCTGAATGGCTGTGGTAAGGCAGACTGTCCCCTGGACTCCAGCCCCCTGAAGACACTGGCCACAGGAGCCTGCTCTGTCTACTTCCTATCTGCTCATTTGCTCAGACATAAGGTGAAACTCTGGCTACTATAGGACAGAGGATAATCCAGCTGCATCTTCCCTTCCAGCTGGGTGTGGCCTTCCAACCACTCCCTGCCAGCCAGTAGCCAGGCACCCCACCCCCATAATGCTGGCATCCCAGAGATGCTGATGCCAATAGCCTGAACATTGAATTATAGAGGACCTGTCCCTTGAGAGTTCCAGGAGGGGTCCAGGAGCTCCTGAGTGGCTGCCTAACACAAAGCTGTTGTCCCAGCTCTGGTGTTCCCAGGCCCCAGAGCATATCCCCAGAGCCAAGGTCTCCAGATGGCAGGGATATGCTCTACTGTAGTAACACTGGCAAGACACAGCTAGTGGGAGCAGCTGGGCATCGCCATCTAGGTCAGCACTCAACCTCAAGCCACCTTGTGGGCAGGCAAGACCCAAACCTGAGCACCAGGTGGGTGGCTGCTGTGCTGGCTGGGAAGCCATAAGGCAAGGCAGGACCGGTGGAGTGATGGCCACAGTGCTCACTGAACAGCAGTGGTGACAGGGTTGCACTAAAGAGGCAGGTAGAGCCAGGAACGAAGTGGGGTTCCATGGGGACCAGTGACCATCTGCAGACACCCAGGCAAAGGCAGGCTACCTCAAATGGATTCTAACAACACCATCTCTTTCCACCGGCTTTGTGGCATGAGGGTGGCATTCTGTCAGCTCCTCGGGACCACAAGCTTTCATTCAGTACAAGCCTGGCCTCACAATGGCTCTTACTATCCCGCAGGACTCCAGGTTACTGTCCTGGATCCCAGAGTCGGTGCATATCTGTATTGAGAGTGGCTGGCCAGCCCCAGCCTTCTGGCCCTGGGTAACCTTCAGCTGCTACCACAAATGTTACTGTGACACAGTAAACTCCTGTGTGGAGTCTCCTCCCTCTGGCAGAACAATGGTAATGGGAGGCAAGTGAGGCCTTTTCAAGGTTATGAGGCCCTCTTAAGATGCTCCACAGAGCTACGGCCCTCTCCCTTTCCATCAGGTGGGGACAGGCAGGAGCGAGCCATCGCCAGACACTGAACCTGAGTGGCTCAGTCCTGGGTGCAGACTGCAGAACTGAGACAGCTGTACTGCTTACGACCGAGAGCCAATTAATATCAAAACCCAGATACACAGCAGACAGTACTTACTCAGGGGGCAGGACAGTGGTGCTTTCGTCCCCAAAGACAGAAAGGACATTCCCATTAAAGAGGTTACAGAGCACCTCTTTTATAAGAAAGAAGCATGAAAAATGCAAATTTTCTAGTTACACGAATGCCCAACTCCTCTAAAGAAATGTAAAATCGAACACCACATAGTGTCCCAGCCAGTGCTGGTGATGTTGGGGGACAAAGGTTCCGGCAGGGAGGGACAACAGAAATTAAGCCATGGCAACACTCCATCCCCCTGGTGGCTTTGGGAACAGTAGGGCAAGAACTCACGACACTGTTTGGACTGCAGAAACAGCCACTGGTTCCTTGACTGGAGAAGGCTAGCTGGGGCACGCAGGGATAACCCTCACAGTCAGAGCCCAGGGTGGGTGCGCCTGGACCATAGGGTGCCAGTTGTATACCCCCACTGCACTTGGAGGAAGGGTGTAGGTTGGCATTCATGGAGGAAGTGTTGGTCTGCATTCAGGGACAGACACTTTCCCCTGGTGCCGGTGCTGGGGGGGGGGGGCAGACGGACCAGGGCTCTTACTATTTAATGTGGCACTCGGTGCATCAAATTGCCTGTACTTTCAAATTCCTCATATCTAAGGAACCTGAGAAACATTTCAGAGACCAACAAAGTCCAAAGACAAACGGTCAAAAGGCAGAAGGGGCAGGGAAGGAGGGGGAGAAGCAGCACATAATGGTCAGACCCCATTGCCAACTTAGACTTCCTGAGGAATAAGGAGGTCTCAGGCCAGTGAGGTGACTCAGTAAAGGCACTTGCCACACAAGCCCGATGACCCGAGTTCAATCCCTGGTACCCGTGGTGGGCAGAGAGGAAAAAAACCTGAAAGTTACCTTCTGATCTCCACTGGCAGGCTATGGCATGCATGTGCGTGCCCGGACTCACATAAGTAAGGTCCCTGTCCCAGTGCACCTAGATAGGTCTGGTGTGTGTGTGTGTGTGTGTGTGTGTGTACAATGGCTTCCACACTCCCAGTGAGGTCCTCCCCCCTCACCACAGCCTTGCCAGGCTCACTCTCTGTGGAGGAGAGGCAAAACTTGTGCCCCGTGCATCGAGGAAGAGAAGGATGACGGAGGGCAGGCTTCTTTATACACTCTTCGGGCTCTTTCTCTCAGCTTTGTCCAACTAAAATGCACCACAGCTCCTGGGTAGCGTGCCATCAGGAGCCCTCCTTTGGTGTTGTGCCTCCCCATGGCAGAAAGGTGAAGGCCAGTATGGGTGCCACGACCCACACCATGTTGAGAGGATGTGCTGGTCAACAAAGACACACATAGAGACACAACTGACCCGGGACACACACTCACAAACACACAGGCATGCATGGTCATGTGGGAGATACAGACACACAGACAAACACACAGATGTGAAGCCGTGAACACACACAGGGACACACAGACAGACACACACACACACTCATGGACACACACACAGGGCCACGTACACATGTCACACACACAGGGACACACACGGGGCACACAGGGCCATCGTGCCACTAACAACCACAACCCAGGAGGGACAGGAGTTGGAGGAGAACATGGAGAAGGACATAGAAACCCCATGCTGCCCTGAGGGATGGTGGCCATGCCTCAATCTTGGCTCCAATGAACACACAGCAACAAGGTACCCAATTGTTCATTATATCCAATGGAGGCTTCTAGAAGCTATCAGTGGCTAACCTGGGCACACAAATCACACACAAAACGATTTACCTGTACGGTGGGTCTCTGGAGTCGTTCTTGGCACTTACAGAAAGGAGTCTTCAGGAAGACTGCTCTGCAAGTAATGAGAAACCAAGAGTCGAGCCCCTCAGGCCCAGCTTGGCTTCCAGACAATGAACACAAATTCCTGCTTAAACTTATGGCCCCAAGCAGATGACCTCTGTATCCGGGACCTATGTGGCTTGTACCCTGCAGAGGAACTGAGGTGCTGGGTAGCCAGCAAAGGGGAAGTACAGTGTGAGTCCGCTGGCGCTAGCCTTACCTCATAACCACTTCCCTTTCCCCTTCTTTTCTTTCTTTTTCCTTCTCAAAAAAAAAAAAAAAAAAAAAAAAAAAAAAAAAAAAAACCTATCGAGAGATGGCTCAGAGATTTAGAGCACTGTCTGCTCTTCCAGATCAGCTGGGTTCAGTTCCCAGAAACCACATGGCGGCTCACAACTGTCTATAGCTCAAGGGCCAAGGGATCCAACACCCTCACACAGACATTTAAGCAAACAAGCCACCAATGTACACACCATAAATACATTTAAAAGCAACCAGTTGTGGTCAGGTTGTTGCTATGCTGCCCAAACTAACTTCAAACTTACTGTCTTCCTGCCTCAGCCTACCCACTGCTGAGATTTCAGGTGTGTGTCACTACACGCAGGCACCACAGCTACTTTCGAGTAACACACGCCCTGTGTGTGCATACGGTCCCGTCACGGAGAGCAAAGTCCACACATTAGAAAAAGAACCACCAGGCTCAGTTAGAAGGCCTGTCTCGCATGTAGACGGTACTGGGTTCTATCCCTAGCTCTGCATAAACTATATGAAGTGGGCATGGTGGTGTAATCCCAACTCCGGGAGGCCCAGGCTGGATGATCAGGAATTCAGGATCATCTCTGACTACACGACAAGGCCAGCCTGGACTACATGAGAGAGACCCAGGCTCAAAAACAAAAACGAGTATAACCCTTATTCTTTTCAGATTTTTAAAACTCCAATTGCCACTTTTACTTATTGTATGTGCATATGTGTGGGCACACTCGCACACAGCATGTGTGGAAGTTCAGGGACAACTTGCAGGAGATCGTTCTCTCCTTCGATGAGGTGGGACCCGGGGAATCCAATTCAGGCAACTGAGGAAGAAGCAAACACCTTTACCGGCTAAGACATCTCCCCAATCCTAATTTGAGATTTGTATCTTTTTCATCTTCCTAAGGAACCCCCCCCCCAAAACAAAGCAAAACAAAACCACAGACGACATACTCATGAGAAGTAAACGGTGCTCACCCTGTCTTGTTTGGTTGGTTTTAGGGATTGCTGGGACAGAATCCAGAGACTGGCTCACACCAGGTCAGCAATCCACCTCGGAGCCAACCTCAGCCCCTCTCCTGCCTTTCATGGCAGTTTTAAAGCTACACAGAAACAGTAGCCACTGCGGAATGGGGCCAGGCTTCTCTAGGACATCCACTAGCATCAGGGACAGAGCCTTCCAAACAGGCTCCCTGACCAGTGACCCCATGCTCCCAGACCCAGAGGGAAAACCCGCAGGGTTCGGGAGCAGGCCAGACTGAGCCCGCTCAGCGAGACCCCATTTGCTGAGTCCTATGCCAGTCCCGGTGGGACTCTGCAAACGATACAGGGTGACCCACTGTCACAGGGGTAGTGAGAGGGGCAGTCTCCTGGGGTCAGGACAGAAAACAAACCAGGGAGACAAAGGAAGGGATTTATACAGGACAACGTGAAGACCCTGAATTTTTTTTTCCCCCTGTACACTATATTCTGAAAAGGCCTGGAATTATGAAGTGAAAAGACTCTTTCTGGAGGCATTCTATACGTTTGCCACTTCATGAATGAAGGAACAGCCAGGGCTGCTTGCTCCATATGGCCTGACCAGACCCCGTCATCTCTGTTGCAGGGCAGGGATGACAGTGTGTCCCTGTGTCGCTAGAGTGTTCTGTGTCCCTCTCGTACTGGCCTCTGACAGTGGCACTCACTGTCTGTACCCATTTCCTGCCCACCAAGGTTCCCATGTCCCCATCCAATCTCTGACCCAGCCAGCCCCAAATGCAAGTCACAACCTGCTTCTGGCTGCAGCAGCAGCTCAGGCCCTGGCCTCCAGCTTGTGTTCACCACATACTCAGACCGTTTCCTCCTGCTTCCTCAACACAAACCACACGAGATATAATTAGTTTTCTCACCCCGGTCACCCTACCATGCATGATTCCCCCCCCCCTCCCGTGTGGGTATATGAAAGCACCCTTAGCCTCCTCAACAAAGTACCTGCTGGTGGCTTGCCAGATAAAGGAAGAGAAAAGAAAGGCTTCCCATTTTCAAAAGGAGAAGCCTGCTTTTCTCTCCCCTACATTCCCAGAAGTAACTGGATTGGGCTGGGCTGGGGTGGGGATGCTAAGGTCAAAACAACCAGCTCAAAGTCTGGCTCCATCATGCTGGTCTTAAGGTAGGTGCTGGGTCTCTCTAGGCCTGATTCTCCCTTCAGAAGATGAGCTCACAAACAGCAGTTGCCTGTGATGGTCACTGCCTCTCCTGTGGTTTGAGGGTCTGAAGTTGATCTAGTGTGACGAACTTAACTCCTGAGCATGGCACCCATTGACGATCTAGCTGCTGAGTGTTAACTGGGTGGCACCCTTACCGGTAAAATGCAGCCTGTCCCAAAGGCCTCCCTGAGATGGCTCAGCCACACACACACACACACACACACAGAGTGTAGCTGCATTCGCTCTCAATGTGCCTGAAGCATTTTAAGGGTCAGAGTAGAATAGGTATGCATTCAGATGGTGGAATACTTGGCTAGCACGTATGAAGTCTAAGGTGACACCTAGCACTGTTTAAAACTGGGTTTGGTGGTGGTGCGTGGCTATAATCCTAGCCGTGGAGGCAAAGGCAAGCAGATCAGAAGTTCAAGGATATCCTCAGCTACATAGTAAGTTCAAGGCCAGCCTGGGCTACATCAGATCCTGTCTCAGCTCTCTTCCCTACACGCAACAAGGTCTTTGAACCACTTCATCCTGCAATGCTTATAGGCCCGGATAGCATATCTTAAATTCCAGAACATCCTCTACTCTCAGCAGCAAGCTTGGGTTGGACAGAGTAAGGCGTGAAATACAGCAGAACCCCCAGATCCCTGGCCTTGTCCAGGGCTATGGACTGTGGGGTTCCTCCTGATCCCTGCTGTTCATTCTCAGTCCCATTCCAGGCATAGGTAATGGATGAACACACATAGCATGAGAGGCAGGGCCATGGCCAACTGGGATTTGTTTTCTAAGTCCTCAAACCACTAAGTGCTACCCTAGCAAACTGCTTTCATCTCCAGCAATTCCTCAGAAATGCACAGCAAAATTACAAGATCAGGCTAGCTTGACAAGGGTCATAATCAAGATTCACTAGACACAGGGACCTGGGTCAGTGGGCAGTTATCTCTTGACTCCTTCCTAGAGATGTGGCACACCCATGGGAGGGGCTGCCTGCTCTCCAGAAACCCCTGCACGTTCAAGCTCTCTGAGTTTGCCTGATCAGGGTTTCCAGTCTAACTGCCAACTGTCACAGCATGTGTCAGTCACCTTGAGCAACTAATGGATCCGTGCCCCCCCCCAACCATACCCCATACTTCATATTCCACTGCATCTTAAGGCTCCTGCCTCAGCCTCAGGACAGAGCATGTCTCTGCATCTTCTTTAATTTGCTTTTGTCTTGTTTGTTTGAGACAGGTTTTCTCTGTGTAACCCTGGCTCTCTTGGAACTCGCTCTGTAGACCACCAGGCTAGCCTCAAACTCAGGGATCCACCTACCTCTGCCTCTCTAATGCTGGGTTAAAGGCATGCGCCACCTCACCCAGCTCAGTGTTTCTGCTTCTTAACCACAGTGGAAAAGTAGCCAACATTTGATTGACATTCAGCATGTGGTCACTGTGATGCGCAGACAGACCACCAAAGTGTCATCCGTGAGACAAGACAACCTTGCGCACGGCATGGGGAAGAGGTAAGTGCTACGAAGTCCTGGAGTGCTTTTCTCTAGCTGAGGGTGCCAGGGGTGCCTGTGCCCCAAGACAGTTACGGTACAACTGTCAAGTCATGTTTCCAGCCAGGATCTCTAGTCACCAAATACCAGATGGCCCTCAGGCAAGATGTAACAGGCTAGAAAGAAGACTCAGCAAGTATGGGTGTCTAAGTCAAGTCCTCTGACACATGTGCTATGGCACACAAGCTTGTACATGCATATGCACAGCGCACGCACGCACGCACGCGCGCGCGCACACACACACACACACACACACACACACACACACACACACACACACGACACTTCAGAGGCTGGTTCACCACGATCCAGATTACAAATGATCCTCAAGCTTCCTTTACCCATTCTTCAAGCCACTCAGAGGAGCTACGTCTTCTTGACTTCCTCTAGACCAGTGGTTCTTGAGTTAAGAACAGCTGCTCTAGCGAACCACAAGCATCAAGAAACAACTTTAAATAAGGCCACAACCTACAAGGGGCCCTTGCATCTGTTATAGGCGCTAGAAGTCACTGGAGGTAGAAAATAATTTAGAAAGATAGCCCCATCAGAGCTGGACTCACTGTGTCCCCGAGGTGGCCAGCAGGATCCAGGAACTGATCTCGCTATCATTAGACCCAGAAATCAGAGACGCCTCTGCGCACCCCAAGCAGGAAAGTAGGACCCGAGCCTCACTATCCCTCTAACGAGAGCCCCTCTGCTCCTGTCAGCCTAGATCCCCGTGCAGGGCCCCAGGGTCTAGAACTCTGGGTTGAATTTTAGACCCTGGCCCTGCATACCTCTGGTCTGGTGTGGCTTGTAACAGTATGTTATAGGCCAGGAGTATCAGAGTGGTGGCAGGTCTCCTGTTCAGTGCTGTGTCCATGCCCAGTCCATGCCCAGATGATTGAGACTGCGAAGCTCGGTGAGTCACTGACTAGGAGATGGGGGAGCTGGTGAGTCACTGGCATCAGACACCAATGCACCATCGTCTTCCAGCGGCATAGCTGCTGTAGGTGGCATGGTCCACTGCTGCATCTCTCTGGGGGCACAGCAAGGTGATGGACTCAGC